AAAGACGCTGCCCACAAGAGAGCCAGCGTGATACCGGGCGCTTTAGCGAAGAAGCCCCCCGTTCTTAACCCTATTCATGAAACTAACCCAAGCACTATTTAAATGAGTCATTGGCTTCGCATCTAGGACCCTACTTCAATTCGAATTCATGTTTTACGAAGCCCTTGGCCGGACTAACAGGGCCACGGCCTCACCGGCCAAACGCCGGTGAGCACGCACCTCCACGGCCTCAATTCTTACCACCGCGACACTCCTCAACCCAAGAGCATCCGATAGAGGTACTAAACAACCTGGTTGGTGACGCACAGAGGCATGGCCATTCACCACGGCGGTGTTTGGCCACGGTGGCGCCGATGCCGGTGAATAAACCTTGCCTAACACCTCAACCACTACTCCTTAACCATCTATGGACTGCGTTAAACAATGTAGATGTCCTAATTGAACCGCTACTACATTCAAGCGTGTCGGCCATGGAAACGGCATCTACCCACGTCCGCCGTGGACGGCCACACGCTCCGGTGAACCTCGGCCCTAATTGCATCAACCAGCTACCCTAGGAGCAAGAGGACCTCACCAGTGATGCGACAGACGGGCTGGGTGATGACGTGAGGAACGACAACAAGCTGGCCACGTGCGCGAGGTTGATCCGGTTCATGTCGGCCGCGGAGAAGACGTTCCTAGCGACCTGCTGCACCGTCGGCGGAGCCACTGCACGGGTGAGGCACACGAGTCAAGGAGAGGCAACAGCCGTGCTCGATTGAAACAAAAGATCAAGGAGTAGTGCCCCGGGCCGAGAACTCATCTCACCGGCCATGCCGGACCGCCGAAGGGAAAATTCTCCCCATTACCTCACCGTAGGAAAGAAGCTTGTCGAGATGACTCCAATCGGAAGCTAACTACTCTAGCTATTTGGGCGCACGGTGAATTGGAAAGGGATGGACTGCACCCGGCCAATTTGGTGGGCGATGATGTTCGGCTAAATGGTTCGACTGCGGGGAAAACTCCAACATAGGGCCCGGCACCATATGGCAGCAACAGCAGCGGGCTTGGCACTCCGACGCACGACCGTAGCTTCGCGACACGCAAGGCGGGGGCGGCACGGCACTGCGCCGCAGAGGCTGGCATGTCCAGGAACACGGCAGAGTGGCTTGGCGTGAAGCGCGGACAGGACGGCGAAGTTAGGCGGCCGGCAAGGCCACGCACATGCAGCCGAAGTGTCAACGGCAACAATGGCCGTGCAGGCGGCGACGGACGGTGACAGAGCGGTCCGTGCGCGGCACGGCGGTGCGGGTCCACGCGGCACGGCTGTGCAGGAGCATGCGCGGCCAGTAGGGGCGAGGACAACAGCAAGACCAGCCACAGCGGTGCGGCGACGGTGGGCAGAGGCAGACCCGGCACCATGCGTGGGGCGCGTGCATGCTGCGCGCCTGCGCGTGGTGGCAGGCGGTCGTGGCCAGCAGCGCAAGGGCCACGCGCGCGGGCGTGCTTGCACAGGCACGGCAGTGAGGACGCGGCTGGCACGGCAGCACGCGCTGGGCGGCCAGCAGCGGTGCCAGGCCGAGCAGAGGCGGTGGCCGTGGCCAGCACTGGCTCCGTTCAAAATGTGACTTGCACGCTTTTTAAAGCTGTTGAAAAATCCTACCCGATGATCCAAACGCCAAACCCATTCTTCTATACTCAAGAGGGTACCTAGGGCTACCGAACTAAGCCAAAATATCTTGCCACTTCTTAACCCGATCGTTCTGCAAAAATTTCCGAACGTAGCTTCGTCAACGCATTGCCCGACGTGGGAAATTTCGGCTAAGTCCTAACGATTTAGCGTCGAATGCGATTTTCAAGTTACCCGATACACTAGCTAGCGAACCCCGTCCTCGACCGCACGTATTTTATCGTTGCCTACGAAGTTCGTACCACAAACTTTACCAAAGTTCGCATCAACGTTCTAGAGCATTTTTGTTCGATAAAAATTCACTTAGAATGGTAAACAATATAAAGCGACATAGAATGTAACATTTGTTTCTGGTTTCGGACGAACGTTTCAAATGTCGTACATTGATTTATACACTATATTACACCCATGTATAAGCAAGTATGATGCTCATGCAGTGTTTTAGCAAAAATTGTACGATGTAACACCGAGGGTGTTACAGCCAAGAGATCCGATTCAATGAAACAGCTGAAGCTACAGAAGTTGGCCACATCATGATGGATGGATCACAATTATGCGGCACTAAAATCAGTTACTTCATCCGTTCTAAATTATAAGTCAATTTTGACTTTTCTATATACATAATTTTTTCATGCACTCAGATATATACACTATGTCAGATACATTAAAAACAATGTATTTGAAAATGTCAAAACATCTTATAATTTGGAAACGAAGAAAGTAATTTCTTTATGTGTGTGTAGAGTCTGAGCAAATGTATAAAACGTGTGTAAAGATGTATGTAGTTGCATGAAACGTGTGTAAAGTTATACTATGCGTCGCAACCAGGACAGATGACACTGCTACACGTAGGATTTGTAGCGGCGGCTCATAACCTTTTGTAGGAGCGGTTTTGTTGGCCGCCTCTATCACAATGTTGCTATAAATCGAGTATTTATAGGGGTGGCTGTCCATTTTGTAGAAATTACGAAATCAGGCAAAAAATAGCAAAATTTTATTTTAATCCGGGGAGGCCCCCACACACTCCGTCAAAGTCGCAAGTCACGACATTTTTCACGTGAAAATCGCGCGCTTCGCAGGCTGGCGGGATTCGAACCCGCGACCTCCCCCTCTCGCGTACCCTCCTCTAACACTGCACCTCACCCTCACCTGTGTCTATATTAGATTTTCTTTCCCCACGTATTATCCTAAACCGAGTTTAAATTGATTGTTTAATGTCCCCAAAGATTTCAAATGAAAAAGTTATCAACTACAAAGTTGTATAACTTTTCGAGATCAACAATTTTCATTTTGTTAGTTTCTCCATCTGAGGTCGTGTACAAAATTTAAATTTCAAATTTGAGAAATTCAAATGTAGTTTGTCTTGATAAGATAATCTCAAATCAAAAAGTTGTCAACTACAAAGTTTTATAACTTTTCGAGATCTACAACTCACAATTTGGTTGTTTCTCCATCCGAGGTCGTTTGAAAAATTCAAATTTAAAATTTAAGAAATTTAAACGTAGTTTTTCTTGACAAAATGATTTCAAATGAAAAAAGTTGTCAACTACAAAGTTCTGTAACTTTTCAAGATTTTACAACTTTTATTTTGGTTGTTTCTCCATCCGAGGAAGTTTGAAAAAATTTAAATTTCAAATTTGAGAAATTGAAACATAGTTTTTGTTGACAAAATGATTTCAAATGAAAAAGTTGTCAACTACAAAGTTCTATAACTTTTCAAGATATATAACTTTCATTTTGGTCATCTTTTCTTGTGACTTTGTTTGATGACTTCATAATTTAAATTTCTAAAAATGTCAACTTGAAACAACATTTTAAAAGAGTAAATGATTTCAGCTGAAAAAGTCATCAACATAAAGGTTGTAGAACTCATCAAAATCAACAACTTTTATTTTGGTAATTTATTCATCCGACAAAGTGGTTTACATTGTTCACAAATTTACATATATCTCTTATAATTTCATAAACTATAAGAGAGATATGTAAAATTTGTGAACAGAATGTTGTATGAGGGAGAAAGACTAGTTACATTTAGCCAGAGATTAAAACGAGAAATCAAAGTTCTTCAACAATTTAAAAATTAAATTTCAAATAACATTTTGAAACAGTAAATGATTTCAAATGAAAAAGTTGTAAACAATAAAGTTCTATAACTTTCGAGATCTACAACTTTTATTTTGGTTATTTCTCCATTCAAAACCGTTTGAAATAATTCGAATTTTAGTACTTAATTTTTACTATTCAACGCCTATTTGTAGGGGTGACTCAATATAGAGCCACTCCTACAAATTCAATTTGTAGGGGTGGCTGGATATAGAGCCGCCCCTATAAATAGATTTATAAAGACGGCTCGTTTGGGAACTATTTGTAGGGCCGCCCTACATGAGGCGCTTGCTACAAATCCTTTGTAATGTGAGCAAACAAAACTGCAGTCGCAATCAAAGCTTTCTAGGACAATATATATAATCCCATGTACTAGATATGGATAGTATCACACTATCATATATAAAGCTTTGCAAAATTCCACTTTATTTAGAAGTGGTGAGTGAGCAAGCTGTATTTTCACAAAACATGCATAAAGCTGTATTATGCTTCACAGCCAGGATGGGTAATAAGCAACAGAACAAAGCTGCAGTTGCATAAAATGTGTACTTCGCGTCACGGCGGGATGCTTGGGTGAGCAACAGGCCAAACTGTAGCTGCGCATGCACAATCAAACAAAGCTTTCCAAGGAAATCCGATACACCATCACGCAAAGCTTTGCAATGTTCCACTGTATTCATAAGAGGCTGGTGAGGAAGCTATAATTATTGTAATATAATTGCACAAAACATGTACAATGTCTGTCAACCAGGATGGGTGAGCAACAGAACAAAACTGCAGTTACACTATCAAACAAAAGCTTAGTATCACAGTTGGCATGGGTGAGCAATAGAACAAAACTGTTATTGCAAAATCAACAAAGCTGTACAGGACAATCCCATACGCTAGTGGTAGATCGTATCACAGTAACGCACGCTTTGCAAAGTTCCACTTTATTCAGTTCAGAAGAGGTGAGTAGTGTGCAAGATGTTGTTGCATATATAAAACGCGCACAAATTTGTATTGCGTGTCACATCCAAGACCGGTGAACAACAGAACAAAACTGCAGTTGCACAATCAAACAAAACTGTTCAGGACAATCCCACACACTAGTGATAGATAGCATCACACTAGCTATCACAGAAATAAGCTTCACAAAGTTCTATTTATTTAGAAGAGGTGAGTGAGCAAGCGAGTAATGAAGTAAACCAAACAAAAGTGAGCCATTTGCACAGGCCAGCAGATCGCCATGGAGGTGAAGGTGATGAGCTCTAGGCTTGTCAAGCCGTCCTATCCACCAGGTGTGCCACAACCAGACACCACCGAGCATGTGCCTTGTTCGGTGTTCGACAAGATCACATACCACATACAGATGGCCATCATCTACGCGTTCTCACCGCCGGTGCCCTCCATCGCCGACATTGAGCATGGCCTTGCCGCCGTGCTGGGTGTGTACCGGGCGTTCGCTGGCCAGGTCCGTCCGGGCCCGGATGGCGAGCTCGGCGTGCTGCTCAACGACCATGGCGCGCGACTCATCGAGGCGTCCGTGGACGCCCACCTCGCTGATGTTGCACCAGCGAAGCCATCGCCTGACGTGCAGCTGCTGCACCCAGGGTTAGAGGCCGAGATCGAGGAGGTGGTGCAGGTGCAGCTCACGAGGTTCACATGTGGCTCACACATGGTGGGGTTCACCGCGAACCACGCCGTCGCCGACGGTCGTGCCACCAGCAACTTCCTCGTCGCATGGGGTCGCACCGTGCGCGGGGTCCCGATCGGCCTGCCGCCGCCCCTGCACCACCAACCAGGGCTCTTCCCACTCCGAGACCCGCCGTGCCTTGAGTTCGAGCACCGCGGTGTGGAGTTCTACCGCCCGACGACGCCGGCATCATCCCTCCTCACGGCACACGGTGAGACGACCTGCCACGACATCGTGATCCACAAGGCGCACTTCACCAAGGCATTCATCGCCGCGCTCCGCGCCAAGGCATCAGAAGGCCGCGGCCACCCTTTCAGCCGGTTCGAGACCATCGTCGCCCATGTGTGGCGTGCCATGACGCGCGCACGGGGCCTCGGTGACCCGTGCCAGGCGTCTGCCATACGACTCTCCGTCGACGGGCGGCCACGCCTCGGAGTGCCAGAGGGATACTTTGGCAACCTCGTGCTCTGGGCATTCCCGCGCACCACGGTTGGCAACCTGTTGACACAGCCGCTAACCCATGCGGCGCAGGTGATCCACGATGCGGTGAAGCAGGTGGACCGTGCCTACTTCCAGTCCTTCGTGGACTTCGCGAGCTCCGGCGTGGTGGAGGAGGAGGGATTGGAGACAACAGCCGTGCTCAACAGGGACGTGTTGTGCCCGGATCTAGATGTGGATAGCTGGCTAACGTTCCCATTCCAAGAGCTAGACCTGGGCACCGGCGGCCCGTCCTACTTCATGCCGCCCTACATCCCCACAGAGGGGATGTTTTTCCTTGTGCCGTCCTGCCTAGGTGATGGCAGTGTCGACGCCTTCGTGCCTGTGTTCAAGCATAGCCTTGAGGCCTTCAAACAATGCTGCTGCTCCGTGGAGTAGGCAACAAAGCGAATCGGTCAAAGCTTCCAGTAGTAGAATAATTAAGCTCTTGCATGCTTGCTGGAAACTTTAATTATTATCTCTGTACCATATTTTCATATGCTTGCATTGTTTGTATATATCACCCTGGATTAATATTCTAGTGTGTGCCTATCCACATCTTCGACTTGTGCAATTCTTATGTAAACTAGGTAGCGTACCCGTACGTTGCTACGGGACAGAAAAATTTTTATACTAAAAACACATGGATCGCACGATAAGATAACACACGGCCACACCTCGCCACTGCACCGCCATTCTAGCCACCTCAAGCCCATAGTGAGCCCCCACGCTTGCCTCGCTCGCTGGTATGTGCTCGCCATGGCCACCGTCGTGGTCTCTCCACCTAAGAGGCCCAAGGCCCCGCCTTTTTCTTTGTCACGGTACATAACACGCACACACGTGCACTCGCACTCGCACGAGCACAAGTACGGCCTTGCCGAGCCCACAACGCTCTGGAATGCCGGTGTCAGTGAACCGCCCCGAAGGCTCGCCATGGCCAGAGCACCACCACGGCAAGCTCCGTTCCGGCCATCACAAGCCTGTAGAGACCCTAAAACCCCACGGCGAGCTCCGCCTCGTTGAAGGACATGCGCTGCACGTAGCCGTGCCCGAAGAAGACCCCTAGGTTTCCTAGTCACATTCGCAACACCAGGACGGCCATGCATGGTGGTGACGGAGGTCGCCTACTGCAGAACTAATTAGAACCAAATACATATGCTACTAATGTAGTAATGTCACCTGCAAATAGAGACTCAAACTGACAAGCTACTACTCGTATTTAAGAATAGAGTGATATAATAGGTCATGCTAATCCCTATACTGATAGCTAGTCAAAAATAGCGTAAACCTCTTCTCAGACCTTACTTATCAACGAGCTTAGCCAGTGTTTTTTCCATGCACAATAGTTGCATTGTGATAATATCAAACACAACAATATAATATTATTTAGCTATATTGAAGATGGAAATTCTTGAACTGAAATTACACAAGGTCTGAATTTCTTTCAGAATCCTGACCCTTTTCAAAGGCAAAAAAGGAATCCTTGACAAAGTATGCTTTGCTCACCTAACAAGAAATTTACAGCTCTTGAAAGGATCAATTACAGCAAGTGAAAGCTAATCTAAACTACCACACAGAAAAATGACTAAATCAAGGTCTAGCAAGCTCTTAAAACATTATTATTCAACAATTTATATGTTTAAGAAATCAAGGATGGTTCTAAGATAAACTGAACTCTGAAATGCATCCCACATGATATCCTCATGCTCTGTGCAGCTTGGATGCCAAATACTTGACAGAGTAACTTTTCATGTGTTATTCTGGCGCAAAAAATCCCGCAAAAAGAGATATGGTTATTACACATAATAGGAGGAAACATTAAGAGTGTACTGCACAACCCTTTATGGATAGACCTTTGGGTGCATATATAGCCGGAATTTTATCCTCTTTAAAAGATTGCAAGGAACAATATATGTGTATATATAGTCTTTAGTTGGTAGCCAGCACTGCAATTTCAGAGACAGACGGGTAACTTAGCAAGACTCTTGGAAGGAGAGAAATTATGAGATGGCACTAACAACACACATACATATTTTCACAAACTCAGTAAGACAATGATTCAATTAAAGAAGCTATTCACTAACAGCATACATACATATTCAGTAAGACCATGATTCAAGGCTGCCCACGGCATAGTCCAGGAAGCAGGCGTAGGCAGCAGACATTGTATGTCTGTGTGTTCGTCAGAGTGAGAGACCAACTCATTAACGGGGAAAACCATCGATCTGCAGAGCTTGGCATCACAATGACTGGATCGAAAGAGACTTACGCTTTCAGTGATTCATCAAGGGTCAAGCGCTCCGCAGGGATCCAGGGGACCTTCCATCCAGGAGGCATACGGAACATGGCGGTTCGGATAGCTTGTATGCGGTTGATGTCTGAAACCTGAAAGACAGTAACAGTATACCTGGTAGCTGACTATATTGTAACTGAAAAACAGAGTTTAGTTACTGAAATGTCTGCAGAATTACGTACAGGCCAGTCAGAACCAAAAGCTAGCAGCGCACCGCCATCTAACAGTGATTGGAATGTGTAGGAGCTTCGCTGAGCCCGTTCCACCCCAATCTTGTTTCTAGCAGAGTTGGCATCGTCTAATAGATGATCTGGCTGTCAACAATAAACAGATACTTTAGAAGTGGAGTACTTTTAAAAAGAACTCAGAAGCTGAAGCTTTCAATGCACAATCTACTTTGTAAAGCGTAATACCAATATATATAGTAGCAATGGAGCCAGATGTTGGACATGCTCAATCTGATTACATATGCAAATATTCAATTAAGATTCTACTAAACAGAGCGAGTTCGTTCTAAAATAAATAAATAAATACTAAGCAGAGTGCGAGGGAAAGAAACAATTCTAAAATAGCTATCAGAACATAGCTGGAATCTACAGTCCTTCACTCCATTTAAATCAACAACCCTGTTAACCATATCCAGTAGCATGTCATTAGCTTTGTCCCCAATTGCATGTATGGGCACTGCAAATACAAATAAGAACTCTGATATTATTTCGTGGAATATTGTGTCAAAAAGCTAGAATGAAAAATATCTTGTGGAGTCAACAGACTAAATGATTTCTTGACAAAACTCTAAGCATTGTGAGCTGATAAAATGAAATTCAGAGTTAAGTCAATTTCATATTTCACAGAACAAAATAAAAAAAATCTTGTAGATAATTTGTTGCCTAGATCAAGAAATAGTTCTTCCAGTGAGACATTAACTTCATTTGTTGAAGTCATTCGCAGAGATGCCACTCCTCTATTTCCCTTTCCTTATTTTAGATTGTACACTTCTTTTCGATGTATGTTAGCTTCTAAATTGTGACCAAAGATCCAATAATGTGTGCATGAATTTTTTTTTCCTGAGCAAACATTAGTTATTCAAACATAGACATTGGGAAGACCTATGGAGAAGCAAACAACTGTTGCATGGCTGTCAACAGTGTCACATTTTTATAAACAAAAATCATGTCTTGCTTCTATAGTAGTTAGTCGTGTCGGATCAGTAAGCCATACAACCTACTGTCTCTATGGGATACATGAGTATGAAATAGTTTCTAATTTCTTAATTGCTTTCATCAGGGCCTAGAAAATATTCTCAGTGGGGAGGATCCCTAATTGATTATGTGGTTGGTACTTTCCTTACACAGAATTCTGCTGATAATTTATCAAGGCAAAATGAGGATCCATAAAATGAGATCGAGATGGAAGGGAGGGAAGAGTGTATGAAGGTTGTACTCACACGAATGGATGGATGAAGGACCTGTCCTTGGAGCAATTGCAAATCGCGAGGGCGAGCTGCCCGATGTGCGAGGCCTCCTCCGCCTCCTCTTGTTGCTTCTGCTCGATGGGATGCGGCCGCTCCTCGCAGCCGGCCGCCCCTAAAGCTCCTGCCGAGCTGGCGGAGGCTCGATGCTGAGAGGGCCCTAGGGTTCCATCGGAGGCCCGACGTGAGTCAAAAGGTTAAGATGATACAATGAATCTGATATAACTGAAACCAGAACATCTATCTATGCTAGGCAAAATCACTTAAAGTTACGTGCCAAAGAGAAGGTGCTTTATAGGCAATCCAAAATTGTATATATTCCTAACAATTACATAGGGCAAAGAAACCTATGCACTGACAACTAATGCTCATGATTTTTTAATGTATACAGTTTCAAAAGGATATCTCTACCTTCATCTCTCAGAGCAAACTGCATATATGTATTTTTATTATCAGTTTTGATTGGACGCAATGCCTCTTGTAGAGCACATTTGTCAAAGTATTTTTATACAACTAATGCATTAGATCTATCTCGAATAAAAAATCAGCTAGAGACTTCATAGGATTGAAAATGATACATTGTGTCATTAAATGTGAAAGGTGTGTGGTATTCATTAATTGACCAAAAATTATCAGATAACCACACAAGAATTCTCAGATAATAGCACAAGAACTTAAGAGGATCAGAAGACATGCATATGCAATCGGCACTATGAAGTAACATCGGCGAAAAGGATGAAATTGCCACAACTGTGTATGGAGGAATATCATATCCTTGAATTTCTGACATACTTATTTGAACATGTGTGTTTCTGAATTCATGCCTAAACAACAAACGTTTAAACAAGACACATCTGCATACCCTTGGAAAGAATGCAATCGATCAATGCAATAATCCAGAAAAATCAATAGCAGCGCAGATAAATCCTGGAGAACCTACAGGACAGAGAGGATGATGGAGAGCTACATAAGAGTAGGACCAAATGGCGAACTCTAAAACTAAATAATCTCTTGCTTTCTTCTGGTTATAGTAATGTATAGGTGCTAATATATAGGGACCTAATATTGCAAGAGTCGGTCCATGTACAAATCATTTATATAGGGACATGGCAATGCAGTCCACAGGTTATTTCTACAAGAAATTTTGTGGATATGCAAAAATTGTTGTACCTGTGTTCTTAGGGTTGGCATTCTGTATGCTTGTTTCTAATTGTGTTTGGATTGTATCTTAGAGTTCTACTATAGTGCACTAAAAATTCTAAACCAAAAAAACCATACCGATATTCGTTCATATAGATGTGCACTAAAAATTCTAAACCCAACTAGATGTTGATTTGGAATAAGAAGAAAGCAAAATAGAGCTCCTGAAATTTGCACCTGAAAGAGTGGTATGGTCATAAAGGCAGTGCCTGGATCAGTTTATTATCCATTCTGCGTCCTGGCTGCACGGTGTCCTCGAGCAGGCACAAGGCAAGCATCAGGCCTTAAGAAACAATGGTCAAATTGGCTGCCACTTTGGGAGATCTTTTTATACTTTGTTAACTACGGTTGAGTGCGCCAGCTCATCCACTTACGAAGTTGATCCCGAGCACCGGCTCCAACAGCACCGTGTGCACCTCCTACGAAACCTGGATG